ATGTTGTATTCTTGTACAGCACTTTGGTCAACGCTCCTGTTGTAATTAAATGTGCTATATAAATAATTAAACTATTAAACCAGTCAGACATGACATTATGACCACGTGCCTAATGTTGTGCTGGTCCCTCTTTTGCTACCAAAATAGCCCTGACCCATCAAGGCATTGAGTGCACTAGATCCATGAAGGTGGCGTGATATCTTTAAGATCCTTTAAGTCCTGTAAGTTGGAAGGTTGCGCCTCTGTGGATTGGACTTGTTTGTCCCACAAATGCTCAATTGGATTGAGATCTGTAAAATTTGGAGACCATATTTCACCCATATTTGCTTTGTGGCAGACCAGGAACACCCAACAATGGCTGCAGATATCATGGTGAATACATAATCAGTGTTATTTAATTTACCTATCAGTTAATTAATATAAAGTCATACACTGTGTGTGTGTGTGTGTGTGTGTGTGTGTGTGTGTGTGTGTGTGTGTGTTAGTTACCTGTCTGGGCTGATTTTGAATGCAGGGTTGGCTGTAAATATGTTTGAGGGGCTCCAGGATCTCTGTTCCTCCAAGATCAGCCTCCATCTCCTTAACTTTCTTCAGAGCCTCCTCCATGGTCTTCTGGCTGTACTCCACACTCTTACTGCCATGAGATACACATAAGTGTCACAGTACTGGCTCTCTGACCCAGTGTTTGTGTTTCAGTTCTTGGTTTAATATTCTTTGATTGTTATTCCTGGTTTCAGTTATCTTTCGTTTGTGCTTAGTGATCTTAGTTCTTCCTCCCTTTGTATGTTTCTCGGTCTGTGTTTAGTCTCTGCCCCCGTGTTTTCTCTGTGCCTGTCCTAGTCCCCAGTCGCATGTCTAATCACCTTGTCTCCATGCTCCATGTCAGTGTATCCTGCTTTGCTTCCTGTGCCTTGTTATGTCGGATTAGCCCCAGCTGTGCTTCCCTCCCGTTTTCCCGTTCCCTCGTTACTCCCCGGTGTATATAAGCCCTGTATTTTTCTCTGTTAGTTGTCGTTTCCTCCGCATTAGCTGCGTGTCATGTTTGTTATGTCGTGCACTCCCAGTTTAGGTCATTCTTCCTAGTTTGAGCTTTTGTTTTATTTCTAGTGCTCATATATTGTGTTTCTTAGTTTGCTTTTGCCAGCGAATAAAAGCTGCTGCCTTCAAGTTAAATACTCCATCTTAGAGTCCTGCGTTTGGGTCCAACCACTACCTCCCACACAGCAAACCTTGACAATAAGTGATTGATGGCTGTTTAGCACTGCTAAATTCTACATTGTAATTTAATGAGTTTCACTCATACACTTTCAAAACTGCCTTTTAGAACCATAACATAACAGCAGCTTACCTAAATGAGCTGTAAGTATTCTAGAAACGCATTATCTGGTGTAACTAGAGCAGATATCTTATTACACACTTTACACACAAGTGACATCATTGAAGCACAGTTTTATGGACTGAATCACTCACGAAAAGATGTGTTCATATCTGGATCCAAAACTGTAAATGTTGAAATAGCAGCCCATTGGTAAACTCTTCAACAGGAGCAGCAGAGTGTCCTTCAGGGAAGAGGGAGAAGATGGTGAGGCCACTGTGTGAGAGGAA